GGGTAACCCAGTGAAAGATGGGGCAGAAAGAACCTTAGAGTCAGAGGGAATGGAGCCCTCTAAGTCAGTGTGTTCACAGCTCATATGAACTCACAGAGACTGCACCAGGTCCTCTGTATATATTATAGCTTTCAGTTTAGAGTTTTTATGGGACACTGCAAACGAGTAGGTCTCAGTTACTTATGCCTTCTCTTGGGCTCTTTTCCTTCTGGCTTGCTTGTTGTTTAATTTATATATCCAGTTCCAATGTGTTAGTTTTTGTTTTACCTTATTGTATTTTACTTTGTTTTATTATCATCCCTTTGAAGCCTGTTTGCTTTCAAAGAGACAGAAAGTGAATGGATCAGGATGGGAGGAGAGGTGGGGAGGAAATGGGAGAAATAGAGAGAGGGTGAACCATTATTAGGCTATATTATATGAGGAAAAAATCTATTTTCAATAAAAGAAAAAAAAACTAGGGAAAACCAACCAACCAACGAACTAAATAAATAAACTAGTATGCAGAATGCAAATGCATTGCAGCATGAAATTCTTTCTTTCTTTCTTTCTTTCTTTCTTTCTTTTTTTCCTCCCTCCCTCCCTCCTTCCCTCCCTCCCTTTTCTTTCTACCCTGGGAAGGTGCAAGCCTTTTCCTTAACAAATAAATCTTTCAGTCTGAAGTAAGTATTGCCATACGCTCCCTTCTTTCTCAGCTGACACTATATTGATGTCTGTCATTTGTTATCAGCAGTATGGGCAGATCTGGAATGAATGTAGGGTCTCACTCGTTAGTTATAGTTGGAGAACTGGGGCTATGGCTCAGTGGTAGAATATTCACCTGGCTTGCCTAAGGCTTCGGTTTTAATCTTCAAAAAAGAAGCCCTAAAAATGTGTGGCCAAGAGTAAAATAAAACAAAACTTGAAGAGTTGGGGTCATTCTGTAATGGTGACATGTAAAATAATAGGACATAAAAGTCGTAGTGTTGGGTCTGGACAGGTGGCTCGGCTTCCGTTAAGAGAACATGCTGCTCTTTCAGAGGACCCTGGTTCCATTCCCAGCACCCCTATGGGAAGACCTCCAGTTCCTGGGGATCTGATATTCTCTTCTGGCCTTCTCAGCTACCAGGAATACATATGGTACACAGATATACCTTCAAGAAAAACACTGATCACACAAAATGAAAACAAATATTTTTTTGAAGTAATGGTTCAGGAAATTTTTAGGAAAGAATTAGGAAAGAAAATGTAGATGTTAAATTCTATAGAGGTTCAAAGAATTTTCTTCTCACAGAAAGGTACTTGACGGAAGTATATACAATTTCATCCAGAAGAAATATTAACACAAAACATTCTTTTTCTTAAATTTGAAGTAATATAAAATTGCCAATATTGGCTGTGTTTGATCCACAACTATGACAGCTTCCTAGTAATCTGTCTTTATGGAAACTCCCTAGTTTAATGGGCTTTAATTCAGAGGAGAGAGTGGGAAGGAAACTCACATTTCATTCCATAATAAGGGTTGAAAATAAATTGTCCATCAAGTTTTCCTAGACATCATGCATTTTGCAGGAATTATATGTTCCATTTTCTTATTTTAAATGAGATGATTATTTTGTGGGTTATTTTTTACAAGACACATGATACTTAATATCATAGTCACATTTAGCTTTTGACTGACTAAGTAATAAAATAGACACAACTAGTTGTCATTGCCTATACACTGAGTTTAGTTTTAACTAATAAAATAGCCAAGCAAATATGACAATTTGCTATGGAGTTTGCCTCTTTTGGGGGGTCCCATTTACTATTGCAAGGGGCTAGGTACTGTTGCATTACCACGGTGGTGGTCAAGGGCAGCCACCAGCTAGATGCCATGACAATGTCAGCAAGCTTTCCTGAAGAAATCGATTTCTCCTTTTCATCTTCCTGAAAAGATTGAATTCAGATATTGCACAATCCATAGATTCAGCTTCTCAATCACAGTCTTATTCTTTCAAATTGATCACTTTACATGATAGGGACAAAAATCTGCTTTCATCCATAAAAATAAACAATGTTTAAACCTAACTGACTTGTTACAAATAGAGCTAAGTCGAATATTTAAAACCTTAAAACTGAGCAGATGATTCGGTTGATAGAAGTATTTCCCATGGAAGTCTGAGGGCCTGAGTTCAATCCCCCAAACCCACATAAAAAGCTGGATGCTGACACATATCTATAATTCAGCATTCCTGGAGCAGGTTAGGAGGCAGAGACCTGGGAATTTGCAGAACCTTGAGGGGCAGCAGAAGCAGCAGCTCAGGAGATTGAGGAGACTCTGTCTACATGGTGGACAGCCAGAACCTGGAAGGCAAGAAAGGCCTCCTGAGAGTTGTCCTCTTGCACACACACAAACACACACACACACGGACACGGACACACACTCCTGAAAGCTATCCTCTTACCTATCTCTACAAACACACACACAACAAATAAATAAATACGTAAATAAATAAGTAAATAAATAAAAATTTAAAATCAAAGTTCATTAGGATATGAGGCACCCAGGAGTGTTGCAACAAATACTCCCTGAAACAATATTAGCCATAAATATACAATTCTCTACTAAGATCTGATGCTCTAATATGCTAACTACCAATTCTCTGGACTAAGTACATTATATTTTATTTCAGTTTTTGGAGCAGGGTCTCTTACATTGCAGGCTGGCCTTAAATGCCTTATCCCATTAAGGATGACCTTGAACTCCTGGTCCTCTGCTAGGTTTACATTTGTTTTCTGGGATAATGAGGATCTGGCCCAGGGGGTTGTGCATGCTAAGTAAGGGCTCCACCAACTGACTTACACCCTTAGTCCAAATGTATAAAGATTTTAAACGGAACAGCGACAGATCTGTGTGGAAGAGGTAACAGACATCACTGTCTATTAATAAGAAGGCAGATGTCCTCATATGGTACCATTTTCTCTCCCAAGAAATGACGAAACAAGCTCATTCTTGCCAAGGATGAGCACTCTAGGTACAGACTCTGAGAAACCAGTATGTGATAAATGTTTCTAGGCTTTTAATGTGTTCAGGGCAGGAAATTCAGACACAGCCAGTAGTTCAAAAACAAGGGTCTTCTAAAAAAAATTGCATTTCTGGTTCTAAGATGGGATATATAGGATACACTTTAGCCCTGCAGGAGCAACACCAGCATTAATTATACACACAGCTTTTCTGGTTGGGTTAAAAAATATTGCGCATGACTCAGCAAGAAATTTCAAAAGCAGTGTGTTCACCTCTGTAATCAAACTTTTTTTTTTTTTTTTTTAACCTGCAGTCTGCTGCCTATGATGGGGCTTAGTTGATGTTTAAGAAAAGAGGCCGCCACTCTAGTGATCTTTGAGAAACTCCAGGTTTGCTAACAGGAAACAGTCACTTTCCTAAACTCCAGGTCCCCCCATCTTTTTACTTCAAGTAGGAAGTCTTCAAGATTATCTGCTTGCTCTTCTGCAGTGAGTCTAAAATTCACCACATCTCCAAACCAAAGGCTGTCTCTCCCTATCATGAGGGGTGTGTTGTGTTGTGTATGTGTCTTGTGTTGTGTGTGTTTGTTGTGTATGGGGAGTGGGGGGCTCCTGGAGCCTTACAATGGCAACTTGGAACAGGAGCAGGTTCCTCAGATAAATATACAAAGGCCACGGAAGACTGGAAGTCCCAGCTAAAAGGACAGTAAAGGTTCTTGTTATAAAAGGAAAGCTCCGCTTGCCAGGCCCCCGGAAGCTTGTGGGTGGGGGCAAGTCGTCTCACCTATTTTGGAAACTACTTACAGATGTGGGGAAACCTCGGAATTGCTCACACCAGGGGTTTTTGCAGAGATTTCCTCTGACTCCCCCCCCCCTTCCCCAATTTCCCACAACCTGTGTTTGTCTTGAGTCTGCTGGGCTGATGGCTGACGTGTAGTTTACCTCAGCAATCCTGCCTCCGGCTCTTGCCCTGTTCTGAGGAGGAAGTCAAACAAGTGAAGCCTAAGGGTACTGGGAGGCGCTGTACATAGGCGCCAGAACTGTCAGAAAATTTGCGTGGCGAGTATTACTTCCAACTTCCCTTCCTGCGCCCACGTGAGCCCTCGCACCAGCCCATCAGCGAGGGCTTAGCGTTTCCTGCTGGTGCGATCTGGAACTAGATTTTTTTTTTTAATTATTTTTTCTAGTTCTTAGTAAAACTTTGTTGGTCGGGAGACTGACTTTGAGCAGAACTCTCTTTTCTTACCTAAACAGAGGGGAATCAGATACTTCTCTTCCACTCTTGTAGGAAGGTTACAGAGCAGCAAGGCAAAAAAACACACACTGCCTGTTTATCTGGGGGTGGGGTGGGGGCAGGATGGGGAAATTTGCAGCTAAGTTGTCACGATCCCTCGCGCCACCCCCGGTCTGGCGCTGTGCATTGACACGTCTCTCATCTATTAATTGCTGTTCATGGAGGGCAGATGAGAAATATTTTAGTTTTTATCTTAGTAAAATAGAAATGGAAATGTCAGCGGGCTCCTGTCTGTTTGTTTGTATAAGGCTATCAAACGAAGTCAGAGAGGAGGCTGTGGCCCGGATCCTGACCCTGATTGTATGAATAAGTAAGCAGGATGCAGTGATTGGGTTAGATGCTGCGAAGATTTTTTTTTTTCAAGTTAGGAAGAGGGTAAAAAGACAGCTTGGAGGGGGGAAAGAGGCACTCCACATCCTCACACCCCTCTACTCTCTTGCAGCCAGGAGCTTCCCTGGCTTCTGCAGGCTTTTAAGGTCTGGTGGCGTAGAAATGCCTGCCCCCCACCCCCTTTCTCGGTCTCCCCTTTCAGTTCAGAAGTGCTGATGTGCAGACCGGATTCATCTTCTCGGAGCGGCGGCGGCGGGCGCAGGAGGCTGCAGCTCGCGCTCGGCCGCGGGGTCCTGACAGCGGCGGGGGCGCGGCGCGGGAGCCCGAGCTCGGGTGGCAGCTGAGCCCTCGGTGCGCCTGTCGCCGCGGCCGCGATCGCGGGAAGTTCGGCCGCTGGAAGGACGACCTGGACCGAGCCGGCTTGGCTGCGGCTGCCCTGGGCCGAGCTCCTCACCTGCCCTCCGCCCACACGCGGGCCCCCAGCCAAGTCCCCCAGCTCCCGGGGGAGCCAGGCAGTGCTTGCCCTCTCTACCGTCCCGAAGGCACCCGCACGTCTCCGGACACCTGAACACTTAGGTCCTTCCGAGGAGCCTCCCAGTGGGGAGAAGAGCACTGTCTCTTGAGCCCCTTAGAACCACGAGGCCCACCGGGTCTGGTCCCCTCCTTTACCTCAGGGAGAGGAGGATGGGTTTGCAAGTGCTCTCCCCGAGGATGCCCCTGTGGTTAGTGGTCTTGGGTTTTGTTTTTTCCTGGGAACTGTGGGTCTGCACTAGCCTCGATTATGATTACACTTTTGATGGGAACGAAGAGGACAAAACGGAGCCTATAGATTACAAGGACCCGTGCAAAGCCGGTAAGTGACTGTCTAAGTTGGGACCGGTGCGCGCCGCTGGGGACCCAGGTGCTGGAATCTCCTACTGGAAGCAGTGGGGAGCTCACCTGTTTCCTTCTCCCCCTCCCTAGCCCCTCCGCCGCTGGTCTTCTCTCCCCCTCCCTTTTCCTTCCCCTCCCCACCCTGCGTGGCCCAAGTTCCCTGGAGTTCTGTGCTAGTAGGATAGGATGCCAAGCACTAGTTTAAGGCAAATGTCCCGTCCCGGAGTTTTGGATCCCTCCCCCAACCACTGTGAAATTAAACAAGCCATAAACACAGCTGGCTTCTGTGGGTTTTAAATGCCAACACGCAGCGGGTTCAATGCATCAGGAGGGGACAAGACCTCCCCTGTTCCAGGACGCCGTTCCCCAGCGTCTGTTCAAGACCAAGTGGGCAGAGTTTTCCAAAAGGTGGGTGGGGTTGTCATTGCTACCTCCGGACACTTTCACTCTGTTTTACCGGGAGTTTTAAGCGTGAGCTTCAGGCCAGAAGAGTGTTGTGGCAACCTTAGAAGAACTCAGTTCTAGATAATGTTCCAGTTTTTGGTTTTGGGGGATTTTTTTTCAATTTTAAAATAAATCTAGAAATGTTTGTACCAAGTTGCTATTCAAGCTTGTGTCTTCCTCCCTGGAAACAGTCTCTGGGCAACAGTGGGACTGGCACTGTCTGAAGCCCAGGGCTCTCCACGAGGGGTCCGGGAACACCCAGGTCTAGCCCTTCTCTTCCACTTGCCAAGCACCAGCACGCATCTTCTGTCCAGCCTGTGGTGGGAGCCCCTCACAGGCGGCTCATAGGGCCACATGAGCTCAGGGACCCAGGGCTCTCAACACTGGCTGAAACACCATTCAGGGTCTGGGCATTCCCTGTCCTAGGTTCTGTTGGATTGTGGCTGAGGCAATCTCAGTTCATCGGGAACTCATGACTAACTTTGCGAAGGTTACTCTAGCAGGCCAAAGTAACAAAGTGTCCTTGGGAAGCCAAAGGCAAGGTCTGTTCCAAGTCAAGAGGTGTGGCTTCCAGAAGAGGGAGCAGAGAAAGGGTAGTCCAGATAGGAAATAGATCTAAGCATATCCAGATTCCAAGACTGATTGGCAGGTCTGTGGTTGGATTTTCGACCTTTCCATAGGTAAGCAAACCCTCGTTAACCCTTCTTGAGCCTGAAGGAGACCTGTGCTCAGGAGAAGGAAACCGCTGGAAATTCCTTGGTTGGTTCTTATCTAGGATACATGGCTCCAGTGTCAGATGCGCTCAAGCAGTCTGATCTCTCACTGTGAACATTCTATGCAGATTCTCGTTCGAAACTCCGAGTGATTTCAGGGGACATCTGTCTTGAACTCAGAGTTCTGATTATGTGCTGTGTTAATAAATTCGCTCTTGTCACCGTTAAAACTGTTTCCCCGTGTTTCTGGGACTTGATGGTCTGGTCCAGGAAATTCTACTATAGCAGTGAATTCATGCCAATGTAACTTTTGGTAGGCGGAGTGTTTGTAGTAATGCTACAACTTGGAAAGTGTGCATTTCTTGCTTGTCTGTAGGTATGGGTGAGGCCCCAAATTTATTATATTGCTAGAGAATTGTCTATTGTGATGCCCTTTGTGTGAGTCACCCAGCTACCAGGTGTCAGTACAGTGTGCTCCAGCACACCTTAAGCATGGGTGCTTGTTTTTCTTTGCAAATGAATACAGAAAAAAAGGAAGAAAAGACAGCTTGAGTAATACTGATGTCTCATTTTCCCCGCACTTACAGAATTATTTTTAATATGAATTTTGGAATTAAAACAGAAAATAATAGCTTAGACTTATTATTGTTCTTTTTTTTAACCCATTTATGACTATGTGTCTGTGCATGTCTGTCTGCATATGTGGAGGAAGAAAGAATAGCCAGTGTAGAAGGCAAAGAAATATGAACAGGGTCCGGGGTCTCTTTTCAAGTGTTCTCTTTCACCTTTAACATACGAAGATGAAAGGCTATAACTGATCTCTGCCTGGAGAGTGATAAAATTTGTCTCTTTTATTAGTACTGTATAAAACAAACAAAAAGTTAAAATAATCACGGAGAACGTGAACACCTGAACGTGACCCAAGCAAATTGAGTGAAAAGTAAGTTGCTGGAATAAAAAAGAGCTACAGATCCATTGGGAAAGACAGTTATACAAAGTCAAGAGGCTCTTTCCAGTCTAGGACACCTTTGCTCTCTCTTCCAGTGGGTTCCAGAGTCTGGTCTGAGAATTGAGTCCTTTCTGGATGTTGTGAACATACATCCTGATATTCAAATATTCCTTTCACTGTAGAGTGGCTTGATAGCACAGTGACAAACAGCTTTACGGTTTTGAATTTTCTCTCTCTCTCTCTTTTTTTTTTTTTTTTTTTTTTTTTTTTTTTTTTTTTTTTTTAGACAGAGTTTCTCTGTGCTGGTTTGGAGCCTGTTCCGGAACTAGCTCTTGTAGACCAGGCTTGCCTTAGGAATTTCTACCACCAGTAGCTTTTAAGGTACCCGCTCACTTGGGCGTGGCCTCGGATTTCTTTTAAGCGTCCACCTTCACAGGCTGACCTCAAACTCCCAGAGATCTGCCTGCCTCTGCCTCTGGAGTGCTGGGATTAAAGGCGTGCACCACCACTGCCCGAGCTTTGAAACTTTGCTGAGTGTGTGGTTCTAGTTGGGGGTCACAGCATCCCAGTGTGCTGGAGTTTGTTAATCTTCCCACCTCAAAGACCGGAAAACAGACTGAATGACATTAAATGTCTTTGTCCCCCTGGAACCCCACCCCAGCTTAATTTTTTCCTTTCCTTTCTGAGTCTTTCTTTGAAATACAAACCAACAAACATAAACCACAGAAATGAGCCCAGGCTTTTCTGTAATACTGATTGGTTTAGAGGAAAGTGTTCTCATATCATATGTGGGTGACGTGACCAAGGATTTAATTTCATTTATTTTAAATGTAAGTCCTGGAAATCAAGGTCATAAGTAGTGTAAATATTTATCACAAAGATATATTGCCAGATCCACTCTTAGGAGTCTAGTATATTCTCAATACAAGACTTTCATAGTCTCATTCTATAAAATTCTATTTCAAATAAGACAAAAATCATGGTACCCAAGATTTGTCATAATTTGTTAGATTTTAAGACTGGAAATACTATGGGAGAGACAGGAAGCTTATAGTCATTTGGTTGAATTGATTGAGACATTTCTGGTATAAATGAAAATATATCAGTTAGTATACCACAGATGAAGTCTGCCAGGATGGAAGGTGGCTACTTCCTTCTGTGAATGCGTGTGCACAGAGCTGCAGGTAGAGCAACATGAAGGGATGTCTGCTTGGCCCCTTTATTGTATCATACTGGTAGGTCACCTGCCTGTTTTAGTGTGCAGTGAGGTTGTGCCCAGTCTCTGGAGTGTAAAAGGGTCTCCAAAGACACAGGGAGCCAGTGGGAGTTTGTCTTAAAGCGGAGGATGACGTGTCTCCATGCCTGCTTTCATAGGGCGACTCCAGTAAGTGTGAACCAGAAGCCTGACATCTCTGAAGTGTCTGGGAAAATCCAGCTTACAAGGTTATCTGCCAGAGTTGTACAGAAATGATGTGTGAAAGCAGTGACGAATGAAACGATTGGGCTAAAACCTCTCCCCACTTCCCTGCCTTTCTCCATCCATCTCTCTAGCCCTCTGTCCTTTGTCTCTGCTTTCCCCTTCTTCTCCATTTCCTTCTGTTTGTTTCTTTATATTTGAGAAGGTATTAAGGATGTTCACGCACATGCAAATGCAGAGATTGATGAAAATGCATCTTAAATGATGAGTAAAAAGTTAGAAGACTGGCGGATGAAATCCAATGTTTCTCAGTAAGTTCATTCTCCCCTTACACACATGTGAACTTTGTGGGAGTTTTGTACCTTGAAATTCATGAATGGATGGTTCTTTTCCTTAAAGGTCAGTGAACTCAGAGATTGTCGAGCTTGCCCTTTGAGAAGCAGCTGCGAGTCCCATCCTGAAGAAATCAGCTTTTGGCATCTCAAATAATTCTTCCTGCTTTTCCTCATGACCAGGGCCCTAGTTTCCATGTACACTAGATCTTGGGGGAAATTTTTGTAAGTTTATAATTTCTAATTTCTAGGCCAGTTGTTTTTGTTGTTCTTGGTGTTGTATTTTCTGGCTGGACAGGCATCCTCTTAGGTACAGCATTTTAGAACTTGCTCAGTTCAACATCTACTTTATTCCATCACAACTTGAAATATCCAAACATTTACCCTGAGGTCGGCGCCTCTCTAGAGTGCCAAACTCTCATCTGAAGGCCACTTCCAGGGGCTGCTGCTTTAGCCAGTCTCTTCTGTCTTAGTTTTCATGGCTCAGATCTTGAAAATATTTTTTTCTCTTTTTGGCCTCTGGTGCCAGCTAACTTAGAAATGGCCAAAATAAGGTTTGCAAAATGGCTGGATAAGGCATTATGCTTGTATACTTGAATTCTATTTTTCATTTGCTGTGAGTACTTCTTTGATTCTTGTCCGGCGGGCTAGTGGGTCTTCTGCTTCTCAAGTAGCAGTTACTGGCAGTAAGTACGGGAAAGATACATTATTTTTTCTTGAATGAATTTTCCTAGACCAAGCGTTTTTTTTCCAAATATTGTTTTTCCCTTTCCATCTTCCCCCGTTCCCCTTCTTTTCCTTTCCCCTCCATTTCCCTTCCCTTGCTTCCCTTTCCTTTCATGTTCCCCTTTTCCCTACCCATTCTTTGTTTATAGGGTGTCTTGAACTCTTCACAGTTTTGTCTCCATACAGTGTGACTGGAAAATTCAAAATTCAGCTAGATAGTTTTTGTCTTTTGCTGTTGGTTTCCTTAAATATTGCAGACATTAACTACTTGTTAGATGAAGGTTCTGGATATTTCTCCATTTCCGGAAGTCATCTGTTCACTCGGTTGTTTCTTTTTTACACATTGGGATCATTTTTTCCCTTGTTGTCTGCATGTTTATATCCTTGGACAATATGATC